ACCCCAGGAGCGCCTAGACTGCCCCGCTGCCCGAGCCCCTCCGCAGCTTTGCTCTGCGTCTTCCTGGTCTGCAGACCAGGGAGACGCAGAGCAAAGCCCCAGAGTACACGGGCGGCAGGACCGCGAGGTCCCGCAGTCCGTGTCCTCCGGGGCAGCCCCGTTCGTAACTGCGGATCTGACGTAAGTCGGATCCGCGTGAGTCGGGGACTGCCTGTAGTTGAGTAACCAACAAGAATTCATGGGGTTAATAGACTATTCAGTTAACCGATATTTAACATCCTTAGTGGACATCCAATCCATGCAAGCTGCAGGTGCACGTCAGACAATACTTGCTGCTTAAAACCATTTGTAATCTAAATGTCATTTGGTCCTCAATCCTGCAGCTGCTCTACATGGTTGGGCCCTTATATCACACAGAGGCCTTTTGTGCAGAGCAGCTTGTACAACCCAGACCATAGTAGGGATGTTAACTGTCATTTTAAAAGTTAAACTGATTAACCGAATTGGGCAGGTGCTGCTTCCACTGAGCTGGGCTGCCGGTTAATAATAAGCACCGCCCAATAAGGTTGTAGCAACATAGCCAGGGCAGGAACAGAAGAGGAATCCAGAATTTGAATAAGCATTGCTAAACAATGCATAAGCATAGGAATTTGCTAACGATTCCATACAAATTGTAGGGTGCTGCTAAAAAGTTGTGTATTAAAGTGCATGTATACCACACACAGGGATTATATATTTGGTGGCTAGATTCCACTATTAAAAAAAACAGATCAGTACAAACAAAGCAAACTCAGTTTTTCCATTGATCAGTGACATTAATTCAAAAGCCACTTGTTGGAAGTCACAGAATCAAGTATTATAGCTTTCATATAATAGTATTTAGCTTGGACATACTGGTGGAGAACAGTTTTCACATATTTCATTTTATATTAACCGTATAGAACAAAGGCATTATGAAAATTTCACTTACATGCAGCTTTTTCACATATGTAGTGCATAATTAGATTTCAGAAAATTTTAATCATTCACAAAAATCTAACCAAAAAAAATCTCACTTATCTAAACAAAACAAAAAGTCTTAGAATGCGGTGTTACCTGAATTGTCTTAATACGTGGGGCATCTACCCCATGGAATTGTGTGTAAACAGAATTTTTAAACTTAAGTTTAAAGGGGTTCTAAACTAAAATCTTAGCATAGAAGGAAAATGGATCATTTTTCAGAGCTATACTAGAGGTATAAATATTTTAATCACTGGGAGTAAACATCCCTCCTGGAATCAAATGGGAAAAAAACCTTCCTTTCCTGATTCTTGAATTAAGAAATATTCTATGTGCATGCTGCAGATGAGAGTTTAGAATCTGTTAAAATGTATTTAGTCTCTGCACTCTAGCTAAATGGTTAATTAAGCAACTACTCATTATTGGGTTCGATAGCCCCTGAATATACAAGATGGAAGCACACGTCTTCAAAGGCAAGCATTCCTGTACACCACTCTTTGGAGGCAAGTTATTAATGTAATTTTAAGGAAAGTAGTGTGGCTAGCTAACCCAAACCCATGAGGTAATATGGTTTTCCAGTACTGTAGCCTTATTGGCCATTTAAATGCTTCCTATTATCTACATTACTTTGTGTTAATAAAATGTACAGAGGCACAGTGTGAGGTGTAAATGTAGTCTTGAAATAGTTTTACAGCAGTAGTATTAGTGCCCTTTCTGAAATATTAATACATTTTTGTGAAAGATACATTTTAAAAATCTGATAAAGTACAATTAATTATTGTATAACCACATTGTGTACCTCTTCCTATGTATAAGCCTATATATACACACACACCATATATACTAAGAATTTTTGCTAAAACAATTGTACACAGACCACATGCATGAAGATTTACCCTCTTTTTAAAGCTTATGATTTGATTTGGACTGGAAGGCATTCAGCTTCAGCAAACACTATGCTTTTATGTATTGCACAGATTATAATTACCACACCCAGTCAGCAGAACTTGGGTTTGTCTAGGCTTTCAGCATTCCCTTTCTTTCCTGAAGGTCTACTCTATGGGTAGTCTCTGTAACAGTAGCCTCAAGATCCATAAGGCTCTGAATTATTCTGTGATTCAGTACTGTGTTCTAAAGATTATTCCTCACCCCAAAAAGCATGATGCCAAATAGCAAAACTGTAGGGAAGAGGAAGAGAGTAATAAAGGGACTTCATGTCTCAAAATCTCTAAAGAAGGGGTGGGAAGGAACATATCCTAATACCACACCTCCACACTACTACATTTTTGGGAGGATAAGTGGGAAGCCTAAGTGTTGACCAGTTGCCATTAAAGTGGACTGAAATCAGTTGCTCTTTGTGAGAAAGCATCAGCTTTACACTGAGTATCAAAACCAAAATACCAGCCCCTATAATATACATTATCTTTTTAACCCCAACAGAAAACAAGTAACTGAAGTCAATGAGTGTTGTCTGTACACAGGCCCTACAATAGCACAGTGAGGGGTTCCAATCCTAGTTTATCTGAATTTTAGCAGTCTCACGTGAGTAGGACAAGGAGGGATTCCTCATTGCTTTTGTTTAAAGGCATTGGAGCTACAAAGATTAAGTAACCACTCATGGCAGGGTGCTCTGGCTTTCGCAAAGAAAAAAGATCTGATAGTTTTGCAAAAAGGAGGTCAGTGCAGAGAAGAGAAATAAGTCTCTTCAATTTAAACAGGCTAATATGGGCTTTGGAATGTTTAGTCCAAATTGCTAATAAACGAAGAGCCAAGAAGTAAGTTAGCTTTCTTTTAGAAGGCCAAAGAGTACCAATCAAATTAGTTATGATCTCTACTAGAGACATATTGGAGATGGCAGGGAAGAGGGAGTATCCAGGCCCTAGTGCAAATACACTTATTTACATGAGTGAACCCCTCCCCCAAATACAGTGAACTCTTCCAGTAGTTACAATATTGAAATACTCTACTCAAATATCCCCTATGCTAGGGGAGATCAAGCAGTTTGTGTTGAGCATAGAGCTCCTCCGTGATATCATAGACCTTGCAGATAAAGGGCAAAGCATCCCCCAGCATAGCCACAGCCTCATCAGCTGTGCCTACATTCATGTTTTCAAGGAATGTATTTCGAGTGGGTAAGACATAAAAAGCCACTGTGGCAGCCTTGCGAATAATCCAGGGATGATAGTTAGCCAAGGAAGCATTGTATGCCTCTGAGCAGATCACAGAGGTTTTGGAGTCCTCCTCGCCAGTCCTCAGTCCTTCCAAGAACATCTGTAGCCAACGAAGGGCTCGGTGGAGGCGCAAGAAGGTTCTGCAGCCTGAGTCAGGATGCTCAGATCGCTTTTTGAGATCAACAAGGCCATTAGCCAGCTCATACTCCACCATGGATTGAACAGTCAAGTACTTTTCTCGCTGGTCACTATTACGATAATTCTCTAGGATCTGTATTTTGGTCACTGCGTCTTTTGAAATGAAGGAAAAAACTGTGCCCAGGGTGTTCAGAAACCTAAATTTTAAACCAACAAACAAAAAACCCAAACAGTCATGTGTTAGGTAACAGAATAAGGGAGCTTGAGAAATGATACTGAAACAATGCCCCTAGTTAAGTGGTTAAGAGTTAGATCAGACTTTGCTATAATACCAAGTTATTGGACATACCAGAATTGGTGAACACATTTAATTTAAATCTAAGATGAAATGTGTAATAAGGTAGTAGTGATGATTATTATAATGTACTAAATATATAGAACAGGCCTCCAAATGAGCTAGCAGAGTCAGATGTTAGTTAAGAAGTGTTTGGTTTATATTACCATGTAGAATATATTAATAGTCACTTTGTTCCTACTAGCAGCTTAGACAGCCAAGCCATTCTACCAATGTGCAGAATACAAATGAGGAATCTGCTTAGGGCAGCCAGGAATTTAGGGCACCACTGGGGCTATGTCCACCACCTCTTCCTATCTCTATTCTGTGGCTCTGATTCTTCTGGAAAGGATCTGGTTAAGTGAAAACGCCTGCCAGACCTATTCGCAAAAACTGTAAAAGAGCCATTGAAGTGGTAATGAAGCCATTTTAAAGGCCATTTGCCAGCCTCAGGCATATACAATCATTTTCTGAATTTGTTTCAGAGAAAAGTGTGTGTGCGCGTGTGCATGCACACACAAAAAAAACCCTGTTAGTCTCTAGGTCTACATCTAGACTGCAAGCCTCTTTTGAAAGAGGCTTTTTCGAAATATATTTTCAAAAAAGCCTCTTTCGAAAAAGAGAGTCTAGACTGCAAGCAGTACTTTCGAAAAAGCAAGCCGCTTTTTTGAAAGAGAGCACCCAGGCAGTCTGGATGCTCTCTTTCGAAAAAGCCGTGTTTGCATTCAAGAATGCCTTTTTTCAAAAGAGCACTTTTGAAAAAGGGCGTTCTTCCTCGTGAAATAAGTACCGCCATTGAAAGAAAAGCTGCGTTCTTTCGATTTAATTTCGAAAGAACGCAGCTGTAGTCTAGACGCAGGTGACTTTTTTCGAAAAAACCCTGCAGTCTAGACACAGCCTAGGGTGCTACAGAACTATTTTTAAAAATTTACTTTGAGAGTCAGCAGGACATTAGTTTAAAATATGAGTGTGTTGCTGAAGATTATAAAATCACAGTTAAAAAATGGTCATCACTCCCCACCGGGGAGACATAAGGGCACTAGCTTAGCAGTATTGCACAGGGCCCAGAAAACCCTGAACAAAGCCATGCTAGACAAGCCCCACGCTGGCCACTCTGCGTTCCTTCCCAGGACTTCCGGGAAGGGCGCGGCTCGCGCCTGTCACGTGATCCGCGGGCGAGCCAATGGGCTCCCTCTGACACCTACCAACCCGGTCTCCTCCCCTTTCCCCACCAAGCCGGCTTTAAAAACAGGGGCGTGGCCAGCGCCAGTCAGCGTCCCCGCCCGCCTCTCACCTGATCAGGCCCTTCCAGCCCGCGAGATACGGGTCCACGCGCACCTCCCGCTGCTCGCCAAGGCAGGCCGTGAACGCCACCAGCACTTCCCGCAGGCAGAACGCGTCCGCCCCGTCCGCCATGGTGAACCCGGTACCTCGCCGCCTGCTTCCGTTCTTCCCGACTCCTGCACCCCCCCCAATCGGCGCACGCCCCTTCCGCCGCTCCAGCCACTCAC